AAGATAAGAGTTAAGTATTTGTTATAGAGTTCACCAAAAAGTGGTGTTAATTTCGTTTTTATTTCTATTTATATTTTATGCATACATTAATGATTAATCAGTCGGTGATCAAAGGGGGAGGGTAGTTAATGGGTATTATATTGTGTACTCGATAGCCCCGGGCTTAACTCTATATGTTTTACAAATTACACGAATAATTATCACTCATTCATCACTTTTTCTTATATAATAATCTCAAGTCTCTCATGAAATAAAGTAATTAAGAGTTAAAATAAAAGTTTCATTTTGAATGTTTCGTATCAAAAAGTGTTTTATAAGTGATTTTAAACTATAAAACCAAAGGTACAGTTCATTAGGTGGTTAACTGACCCCGACACGACTTGCATTACTCTGTAGGGCATGGATACACTCGATAAGTATGCTTGTTTCGCACGGGTATGTCATCTCAAGTCGATAATGAGTTGATATTAAAAGTTTTTACGAGTTTTATGTTTTTAGTATTCATTATCAATGTAAAAGTCATGTCTTAATCAAACACAATATATTTTAATAAACTCTTGAAATCAAAATGTTTTTTCAACCAATCCTTTTGCAAAAACACTTAAACTTAAACTAAATCCCAAAAAATGCGGAATCATTTCAGACAATGAATCATATTTTTCATGTTAATTGTAATGAAATGCAAAAATAAAAGTATTGTTTGCTTCAGTACTGAATGGAAATTTCGGATTCAGATTAGTAATTGTGTTCATGTTTTCTGATATCAAATCCATTAGATATCTAATGAATTATAAAATTTTAAATTCAAAAACTGCTATCAAATTGTTTACATAATTATTAAAAAGTTATTATTCCGTATAAAACAGTGTGTGAATTGACATTAGAAATGAGGGATCGGTAGATATTGGGCTCAGAATTGACTTTAGGGCGCCGACCACATGTTGTTCACCATGGGTACGAACTCGACGATCCGGAAGGTATCCATTGTCATCAGGTTTACGATCTCTCCGATTGTGAAACTTTTTCTGCCGTCAGTTGATAGCAATAGACTCTGAACAGTAAATACATTAAAAGTTACTTGCTAATTATTTTCACAACAACATTAGGCTATTAATAAACCTTTCTATAGATGGTGTTTGTGATGCAGGCCCTCATCTTAAGCCGGATCAACTGCGAGTAGTACATACTCTGACTGCTCACGATGGATTGCTAATTATTTTCACAACAACATTAGGCTATTAATAAACCTTTCTATAGATGGTGTTTGTGATGCAGGCCCTCATCTTAAGCCGGATCAACTGCGAGTAGTACATACTCTGACTGCTGACGATGGACACCACCATCGATGAGAAAAACAGGATAAACGCGTAGAGATATCCGCGCCATTCCGGCTGATCCATGTCCGACACGAATGAGATGAGCCAATCCAAGACCACGGGGTTCACGAATGTCAGCAGACTGTTGGCCAGCCTAAACAGCACCAGTACTACGCTGAACGCCCAGTAGGTCTTCAGGAGTGGTATTAATATACCGGAACTCCTCTTAATCTCATTTTCTTGACGGATGACATTGAAGTTGGCACTGATTGGAAAGACTTTTGTTCTAGGTGATAGTTTGTAGTAGTGTTTGTTGAAGTTTTTGAGGTTATAATCGGTTAGGAACGACCGGTTAGGTGACCACATGTCCAGTAGTGTGAGCGGCCTTTTGTAGCCTAAATGTATCAATGGGTTGACCCACCAGAAGGTCAGTATCGATAGTATTGATGCCGTGTTTTTGGGACAGACTTCCTGTCAAATAATTAAATAAATAATTGATTAAAATATTAGTTAGTATTTTCTGAATGGTTACCAACTTTTGCGTCTCTCGTCTTAATGATGACCACATCCGCGAAACACGAGAGTATAAACTGACAGATAATGATCGGACAGTAAGCCATACGAATACTGAATATGAAGTCCGTGACATTTGCATCCATTTCCCCCTTAAATTGAGAAAAATTATTATAAAACTTATTTAAAACTTTACAAAACTTATTTAAAACTTTACAAAACTTCCTAAAAATACATACATTTCTAAATACAATCGACAATAAAGTCCTGTAATTGATAACTGAAGTCACAGTTAATAATAGCCACAGAAAGAATAGGGCGAGTGAAGTATGAATCCCCTTCAGGCGCTCATAATATATGAGAGATGTGGTCAGAATCTGTTCGGAAAATTCCGTATATAGTTATAAACTATTAAAAGGTAACCAAGCTTACTTACAAAAGTTACTAATTTGATGAAAGGGGTATAGTATGAGACGGGATATACACTAAAATGCAAGTGATCTTCATTGGCATGTATTGTGGATATGTTTGCCAACGATATGATGAGTTCCACTGCACTCATGATAACCAGTAGTAATGATAACAACTGCGAAAACAATTAGATTTAATGATTGTTTTATAATATAGATTTAGATTTGTTACAAATTTGGCTCCATTTAGGAAAGTCCAAGGAAGTGGTGGTCGTTTGGTACGAATTGTATGATATGTTTCTATAGTGGATAGGACCCAGAATAGGGCGCATGGAGTCCATGTTAGGGCCGTGTCCTGAAAACATGATGTAAAGTCCGGATTATCTGTATGCCATGTCTTGTTTAAGTCCTAATCAAATGTAAATCCATTTATTAAAGACTTAATTAATGTATAATAATACTGATAGTGGTAGTGAAGTGTAATTACTTTCTAATAAGATAGGTACATTTATTATCAATTGAATTCCCTATTATCAGATTGTATTGTATTTGAGTCTTAAGTCTAATTGTTTAATAAATACTGTAATCAACGCTAAGTGAATACAATGCATATTAATTGAAATAAATTGCTATAGTACTGGATATTATTAGTGCCAAGACTTGCCAGATAAAAATAAAAGTTCGTTAAAAAAGTGTTTCAAAAGTTATAAATTATATACAAAAAATATTTGCCAAAATCGTTAACACATATTATAAATTTATGGCATTTAAATGATTTGGATATATTGTAATTAACTTTTAAACTTATTTTGAAAAGCGAGTCATTTATTTTACACATTTATATATCTCGAGTCCAATTATTAAACTATAATTAATATCTATTCTGAAACCATAAAAGTGTTTTGAAAAGTCTTATCAAAAAAAACTTTTAGGTTATAATTCATATTCAAAAGCATTTTGCAAATCCATAATAAAATAATAACTATATTTGCGTTAAAAAATGAGTTTAATTATCATGCTAGCACACAAAATAATATTTGGACAAATCATTTTGATTAAAAATCATTTCTCAAAAGTCTGAGATTAATGTATTTTTCTTATGAGTGAGAGAAATGAGACTTTTGTTGATTACAGACCCAGTATTTAGAGCCACAAAACGAGTCCATTTGGCTGTGAAACGCGGTTTTAATCGTCAGTTTGTGTATGAAATTGATGTTAAATAACAAAAACAAATGAAAGCATTGGGTATTTGCATCACACCTGACATCACAGGTAAGTATAGACTATACTGTATAGTGTAGTACCTGGAGGTGAAAGTATGGGATACTTTCGTATAGCAGTCGTATGGGTATTACATAATAAATATATTGAATGCACTGAATAACCTTGGTGATATTATTAGTTTGCACAGAATACGCCCCAAACAGATGACACAAATTAATTGATTTTTAGTATACTATACACACAATAGGTTTGACAATAATCGCAAACTAATGGTCTTATCAGTCGATTAGTACATAAGTCCTATGAATTATAAGTGGTAGCTAGCACATTTTTGACCAGCATGTGCTTTATTCCGGTTGTAAACATGTTATTCTCGATGATTCTTGATAATTATCTAGGTTTTGTTTTTGTTAGAAATTAAATTAAATTTTATTTAAATTTAATTATGTTTACACACTATATAATTACGATGATAGCGATAATTGAGAGCACAGGGATCGCCAAAATAGGTCACCCAAGAGGTCATACCATTAACACTTGGAGATTTACGAAATTACGGTCGACAACCCCCGTTGATAGAGAGCTTAGATTTTTTCATCCCATTCCCTTTAAAGTCAATTCTGAGCCCAATATCTACCGATCCCTCATTTCTAATGTCAATTCACACACTGTTTTATACGGAATAATAACTTTTTAATAATTATGTAAACAATTTGATAGCAGTTTTTGAATTTAAATTTTATAATTCATTAGANAAAGTCAATTCTGAGCCCAATATCTACCGATCCCTCATTTCTAATGTCAATTCACACACTGTTTTATACGGAATAATAACTTTTTAATAATTATGTAAACAATTTGATAGCAGTTTTTGAATTTAAATTTTATAATTCATTAGATATCTAATGGATTTGATATCAGAAAACATGAATACAATTACTAATCTGAATCCGAAATTTCCATTCAATACTGAAACATACTTTTATTTTTGCATTTCATTACAATTAACATGAAAAATATGATTCATTGTCTGAAATGATTCCGCATTTTTGTGGATTTAGTTTAAGTTTAAGTGTTTGCAAAAGGATTGGTTGAAAAAACATTTTCATTTCAAGAGTTTATTAAAACATATTGTGTTTGATTAAGACATGACTTTTACATTGACAATGAATACTAAAAACATGAAAACTCGTAAAAACTTTTAATATCTTAACTCATTATCGACTTGAGATGACATACCCGTGCGAAACAAACATACCTATCGAGTGTATCCATGCCCTACAGAGTAATGTAAGTCGTGCCGGGGTCAGTTAACCACCTAATGAACTGTACCTTTGGTTTTATAGTTTAAAATCACTTATAAAACACTTTTTGATATGAAACATTCAAAATCTTTTATTTTAACTCTTAATTACTTTATTTCATGAGAGACTTGAGATTATTATATAAGAAAAAGTGATGAATGAGTGATAATTATTCGTGTAATTTGTAAAACATATAGAGTTAAGCCCCGGGGCTATCGAGTACACAATATAATACCCATTAAACTACCCTCCCCCTTTGATCACCGACTGATTAATCATTAATGTATGCATAAAATATAAATAGAAATAAAAACGAAATTAACACCACTTTTTGGTGAACTCTATAACAAATACTTAACTCTTATCTTAATTAATGATAAAAATGTCAAAATTTATTACTCAAAATGAAATTCAAAAATATTGAAAATATATAATAAAATGGCAAAAATGGTATTAATTAATATATTATAGCAATATAATTACTTAATTAATGAATTGTGAATTAATAGCTCTAATAATAATAAGTTAAAACTCGTAATAAAAACACATAACAAATGCAATAAAAGCATAAAATATATGGAAATATAAAAAACTTTAATACAAATAAAACCCAAATGAATGGCTAAACGATAGTTACGACGACTTCTTAGCGTTTTTCTTGATATACTTCTTCCACGAGTCCTTTCGCGACTCCTGAGGTCTAAACCACTTGTTATAGACATAAAACTTCTGACTTCGGGCGCAGTTCACCTGATCCCGGGGCTCGCAAGCACCGGTCTCCTGGTTATACAACCTATCGCCTTCGCAATACAACTGGTAGTCCCGGAGTTTACCCTTCGAGAAGGGGATACACACGTGAAACATGCGACACCCGGCCTCCTCGTCCGCGTAGGCAATACCCGGCACTTTGTCCTCGCATTTGAAGGCCGTTATGATGTGCGGCGCCGACAGGAACTCGAAGGGGGACGGCGTCTGACCCTTGCGTCTGGAGGGGGCCTCTCGTTTGCTACGGACGGGTGGGTTAACCGCAGGTCTCCCTTGAATCGTGTCATTAGGCAGCGCGTAGTCGACGTACTCGTACTCGTACTCGACAGGGGCTGACGGTGCCGGCGCTGGGGTTGTAGAGCTGGGCGCGGCCGGAGCTGGCGGTCCAAACTGACTGCGTCGGGAGTTTTGGGGCGCTGGGGCTGCCGGTGCTGATGCTACGGGTGTCGGCTGGGGTTGAGCTCTGGGAGGCTGTGGTCTGGGCTGCGGTTGGAGTCTCGTCGACGACTGGGGCTGACTCTGGGGTCGGGGCTGAGGCTGCGCTGGACTACTGGGTTGGGCGTCCGCCGTCTGCGGGGGTCTCAGAGACGACGTTCTCGAGGACTGGGGTTTCCGCCAGGGCTGGAGGGGCGCCGGTTTGTACAGCTCCTCCTGACCCTTGCTGTCGATGTTTCCGTGGACGGCGTCGTAGTAGCGCTCCGACAGCTGACAGTGGACTATCACATCAAAAGTCAACCATAAATTTACACAAATATAGTGTAGGCGCTGACCGGAGTTGACAGATACATACCGAGGTCATGGTAGGCGCACACACGCGTGGACTGGCTAAATAGGGTGCCGTTAGGACAGGCGAAGCTCTGGGCGCTCAGGGATCCCCTCTCGTTGGCTATACACACGTAATATACGGCACACTTGGTCTCGGGGTCGGCGTAGTACTGTCCGGCCTGTTTGTCGGCGCACGAAAAGCCTGTTTTCGGGTGCGAGTGGACGTTCACGAACACCGGGACATCGCGGCTAAAAGGGCCGCCACCTCCTGGTTGTAGGGGTAGGTCCTCCTCGTAGTCCAACTCCTTGGGGACGGGCTTTTGGGCGATCACTACAGCACTCAATAGAGTGTAGAGAAGCGCTGCGGAAAAGGATTTGGTAAAAAACTTTGAAAAACTTTTTTTGCACAAACTTTGCATACATTTGAATGCATTGCGAGTTAATTATTCAAATGAGTTAATCGTTAAAACGGTAATAAAAAAGACTAAAACGAGTCATCAATTCAAGTGAATACCTCTTAAAAAGTAATTTTTCATCACTCGCTTCAGGATTTCCTGGGACAGGGAGTACAGGGGAAAGGTATGGTTCGGGTTATGGATGGGGACTGCTTCGAGACACAAGTGAATCTGAGCTCAACTTTCTTGTGTCGGGAGAGACAGCACTGGGATTATAGCAAAAATGTGGAACAGATGTAAATCAAGCAAATGAGGAAAAGCTTATAATCGAGAGGTTAGGGCACACATACACACAGGAACGGCAGCCTAACTGTACTATACTAATAGCGATTAGCCGTTGTATGCGCTGTAAGGTCGACAAGACTTCAAAAGTTTTTTTTTTGCTTTTCTATGCAAACGTTTTTCGGTACAAAAATCGAGTTTAAAAGAGACAGATATAGCGGCGCTCTGGCGTTGGCTCCCAAATGGTTGGCAATGCCTCCCAATACCTCTCTCTCAATGCCTGCCAGGGAATGCCTTCCCAGAAAAAAACTGGTGTAGCGATCGACTGATGTGATTGAACATACGGTTCGTACAGTTTTTGGTGGCGATATATAAGACTAAACAAGTTTAGAGTTCGGATTCAGACCTCAATTCAGCAAAATTAGAGCAAAACTTATGGGAGAGAGAGAGAGAGAGAGAGAGACTGTTAAGGACTGGCCGCTCACACAATGAATTACAAATCGCTTCGTATTTAGCATTTAATTATTGATTTGCAATTCTCGGCGTAAAGTGTATACTAAAAAGTTTTAAAAATAGAAATGCCGTTAAAATTAACACCACTTTTCTCGGCAAACAATACTTGAAATCATTACACATTACTTGACATGAATTCACTCGCTATGTGTTAAGTAATTTGCACTTTATTTTTATGGTTCGCCTTTTTATAGTCGAGAAAATTAATTTTGCGATTAAAATACTTACCAAAAAACGTGTTATGAGTGCCGAATGTAATGTTTATTTGCATTTCCATTCAACACGAAAAAGGGTTTGATATGACGGCTACTGACAGCCGTCTCATAAATAGTATTTCGCATTGAAAACCAATTAATTTCATTAAAACCCTTCAAATCTGAGATACATTTCAAATGCAAATTAAATGCAAATCCGCTTCAAATCGTAACGTAATGTTTAAAAATAATTATTTATTCATTCAATTCATTTAAATATACGATGAAATCATTTTTAATTATTTGATTCAATTAAATGGTCAAAAAAACTCACAAATAAAGGTGTGGAGAGGGAGGGGAGGGGAGAGAGAGAGAGAGACAACACATAATAATTAATTTCATTACAGACAATGTGTTTTCATAATACGATTTGCAAAATAAACTGTTTGTTTCCGTCGATACAAAACTCTCGCGTCAATCAAAAATCAGTCAAAACTATAGCCGAAAATAAAAACGGCTTTCCCTTTGCGAGTCCACCACTACTTCGCCCATCAATCGTGTGATTCGCTTCCTTTAGAGCGCCGCGATTTCAGCGCCTTTTCTCTCAGCGTTTTCTCCAATTCACTCAAATCGACGCGTTTGGTGGGAACGGGTGTCGGAGCGCCGGAACCCGACTCCTCGTCCGAGCTCTTCGCCGCCTTCTTCGAGCTTTTCTTATGTTTTTTGTGTTTCTTATGCTTTTTGTGGTGTTTCTTATGCTTCCTCTTCCGCTTCTTCTTGCCGGCGCCCGAACTCTCGTCACTGCTGTCCGACTCACTCACGACTGCCTTCTTCTTGCGCTTCTTCTTCTTCGCCTTTTTGTCCGAATTGTGGTCAGACTTCGACTTCTTGGGCGGCGTCGGCGACTCCGACGTCGACTTCTCGGAGTCCGACTCCTCATCAGACGCCGGCTTCTTAGCCACCGCTACGGCGGGCGGAGAGTCGGCCCGCTTTCGCTTTGCGGGTGCGCCGGGCGATGGGGACCGGCGTTGTCGGGACGCCTTTCCCCGCTTCGGCGACGGACTCCTCGACCCTCGGGTGTCCTCATCGCTTGAGTACAGTTTTGTCGGCAGTTTTCCTGCGTTTGGTGAGCCTTTCCGGTCGACGGCTACCGCCGGCGCCGCCTGTTTCGGACTCGACGGCCGACCCCTGCCGGCAGTCACTGGCGATCTGTTTTGCGGCGATAAAAGCAATCAATGAATTAATTTTAGAAATATATAATCGAAACCATAAAATGCTAAAAACAGCTATAAATCGTTGAAAACGCTTAAAAATCACTCAAAACTCATAACAGGTTTAGGAGAGAAAAGCTATAAAACCTATCATTAAAGTCAGATTCGGTTGAAACCGATTAGCGTTTTGTTTCATTTGTCGGAAAATAAAGTTTTCATTTCATTGATTAGCGAAAAAAGGGGACATTTTTAGAGCAAATTCCGGAAATAAATCTAATTTTACAAAAAATTATAACAAAAAATCGCTTAAATTCTGAGAGAAAATAAAAACACATAAAAGCAAAAACAATAATTATTATATCGACTAATAATAACAAAAAAGGGCTTTAATTCCCTAAAAATACTGGTTTTTTGAATTCAACCCAAATTCACAAATAACTGAATATTAAAACATAAAAATTTCTTTTTTGTGGCAAAAATATGTTTCATATAAATATGTTTGATGTTTGAATCGAAACGGGTATTTATAGCCATAAAGACCTTCAAATGAAAAACTAATAACAAAAAACTCAAATCCCTGGCCAGGCCTGTGGAGCAGCGCCTTAATCTAATTACTGGTAAAGGGTTGGGCTCTCACTTATGGCTAATTGCGGGTAAACTAACAACAAAAACTCCTAATTAATCAAAAACTCTAAATATAAGCCAAAAAATCACACAAAAACACAATTTCAACAAAAAAATATCACAAATTATCTCATCATTTACTGAATGGCGTACTTTTGATGGTCTCTCTGAACAACAACTACTTTCTCTTCGCTTCTAACCGACTGTTTAGCATCTCTTTGGCGACTACTATGAGGCGATAGTCTGTGCCTTTCGGACACCTTTTGTTTAGTCATAGGATTTACGGTATTTTCGGTAATAGGCGTCGGGTTTAGCTTAGAATTAGACCTGCGATCGGATGAGGAGGCGTTCGCCAGTGATATCTTAGGTGAGGGGGCGTTACGTATGGGCGACCTCTTGAAAGGCGGTGCCGCGGCGGGGGGCGAGACGTCTCTCGGAGGGGCGCCTCGTCTAACGACTGGTGAGGGCGACCTTCTTTGTGCTCTTTGATTGGCTCTCAGAGCCGCTCCGGGAGGCGGTGGTGGCGAGTCTGACCTCTTGTCCGGCGGCGGCGGTCGCTGTCTGTCCTTAGCGTCGGGCGAACCACCTCTGCGTCGACCGCCCATTGGTGGCGGCGATGGCGAGCGTTGTTGTCGGCGCTGTTGGGGTCCGGGCGGCGATCCGGAGCGTCGGGAATGTCTAGACGGTGGGGGCGGTGATCGGCGTCTGGTCTGACGGATGGGCGACAATGAGTGCGAACGACGGCCTCTCGGCGACGATGGAGGGGAACGGCGTCTACGCGGGGAACGGGATCTGCGGCGCGGAGAAAACGGAGAGCGACGGCGACGCGGAGGCGAACGGTATCGGCTCTCATAGCGACCGCCACCGAACCCCCGGCGCGGCGAAAAGGGTCGGCCGTAACCACGTCTCGGAGGGCTTCTGTATCCCCCAAACCGACGCGGACTTCGCGATCGACTCCGTGGGCTACGACTGCGGCGCCTAAAACTCCTACTCCTTGAGCGCCGCTTCCTGGGAGGCGTCGACGAGCGCCTCCTTCTGGGTGACGGCGATCGCGACCTCGACTTTGAACCCGATCTCGAGCGCGAACCGGAACGGGATTTCGACGCCGACTTCGATCGCGACTTGGACTTCGAGCCCCTGTCGGACCCACTCTTGGCCGGTGAACCACCGGCGACGGCGCCGTCGCGGCCTCTATACTGACGCTTCTTATCGGGCGACGGGTTATTGTTGGCGTTGGGTTTGGGGGCCGCAGCGCTGTCCTCGGGGTCGGGCTTCAGCTGTAGGGCCGGCGACGGGGACCGAGAGCTNAGTTGATCCAACGATCGGGACATTCATTGATATATTTTTTATGAGATTATTTGCACTTTTAATTGTCGTGTAATTAATGGTTATTAAGAAATCCTTACTAAAGGATGGCTTTTATCTGTCGATTGATTTTTATAATTATTGTATAAATGGTTTGAAAGTATGAATTGGTTTTAATTTTATTGTTATTTTTAATTACAAACAAATGCGTGAAACGATTGACTCGTATTTTGTGGTTTGATTTGAGGTCCGGTTTGTTATGATTAGAGATTATGTTGAAAACCGTTAATTGGTTTTCTAGTACTCAATGTTTTTAATTGATAACTAATTATGTAAACTATATTTAAATGAAAAATACACTTAATTTGAATCAAATTTAGTAAATATTGTTTGCGATTTTGATTCATTAGATGTGACCCCCATTTGAATCGCAAAGTTGCGCACAAAATTGTTTCGGATAATTGTATGACATGTTTGTGTGCAGAAACCTTTAATAAGAGACAAAATGTGACCAAATATTGTGAGACAATTCGTGTCCATCCGAAGAAGTCCTAATGCAATGGTACTCGCAATACATTAAACATATATATTCATAACATTACACTTTACTATCGCTTTAATCCCTTTCCCCTTACTATGCGTTATTAACCATTGTTTTCTTAACACTGTTTTATTTCTCATTTAATTTTCTGATTTTATTTATGATTTTTAATATAAAATGTGTTTAATTTTTGAGTGAAAACACACAAATCGACAGTAAATACTGTTAGCGTTTGAACTGAACAAAAAACCTATTGTTTTGTTATGCGACTCATGATCTCATTTAGTCTTTTGTGATCAGTCTTTTAGGCGATTGTTGTCAACTCGATAGTCACTTAGAGAACCGGGTGTTTGTCTGACGGCAAGTCTTGTTATTATCACTTTCGCTGTGCCATTGAGAAGGGGGAGCCGAGCCATCAAATACTCAGCACTTATTTTAATGACTTATTAATTGATTTTATATCTAATGTTATATACTTTTTGTGATTAATTGTATAAAACCTTAATTCGTGCGATACTAATGTCCTATTCTTCCCATCGTTTTCTTGTCTGAACCTCCAGTTCCCCGACGGGAAGCTCATGCAAATCAATTTGACCGGCTTTTTGAATGGTAAGAAAGCGCGCGAGTTTATGGGCGAACTCTGGGAGTTGTTGATCAGCGCCCAGAACTCCGGTGACGGCATTCCCGAGGAGTTCGTGAACCAGAAGAAGGAGGAGATTAAGAAGCGAGAGGTGAGTGGAGACACGGATTGCGGTGATTGAGATATAATGAGATAATCAATGGTTTTGTTGTTGTTTTTCCATTTAAAGGCCGAGGAGTTGAAAGCCGCCGAAGACAAGGCGAAGAATGGGAAGCCTTTCGACAGATCGCCCGCTCGTAAGAGGAGTCGCTCGCGGAGTCCGGCCCCTCGTAAGAGGTCTCGCTCTCCGCCGCGGCGCCGATCGCCTATCTCTCGGGGCCGTCGCAGTCGCTCGCGGAGTCCGCGCAGACGGAGCCCGAGTCCTAGGGCTCGACGACCGCCCACTCGGAGGGAGCCATCCGTCAGTAAAAGCAGATCTCCGTCGAAGAGTAGGTCGCGATCGCCGGCGAAGAGGCGTTTCCAGAGTCCCAGCAGAGGACAGGCGGCCAAGAAGTCGCCCAAAGAGTCGCCTAAATCGCGGTCGCCGTCCGCCAAACGGAGTACGAGTTCGGCGCCGAGCTCTCGGTCCCCGTCGCCGGCCCTACAGCTGAAGCCCGACCCCGAGGACAGCGCTGCGGCCCCCAAACCCAACGCCAACAATAACCCGTCGCCCGATAAGAAGCGTCAGTATAGAGGCCGCGACG